AAGAGAAATTTGCAATCCAACAGTTATACTGAAAATGAAGCATGATTTTTCCAATTTTCAAAACGCTCTGAATTAATATTTATCAGAATTACACTATGTATGCGTTGAAAATTGCGATGGAATAATAACATCTACAAGAGTCATTAAAAATCATTTATTAATTGAAACTGATATGATAGCTGATGGACATAAATTTTCATTAAATTATTTTCCGTTCGAGTTATGTGATCGTTCTGATAAGTAAGTTTAATACTGCATGTTAATTCTTATTATATTTAAAAATATATTATTGTTTTATAAATTACAGCTACCTATTAAGAATTTATAAAATAAATTAAATTATTAAAACATCAATGTTAAGCTTATTCACATATAATTACATTAAATGTTTAATTTGTTCATTGTAGGTATATTCTCCGAGGAATAGTTGCATATGAGTCTGAAAATTATATCGCGTATGTAAGATGAGCAGATAGATGTTGGCAAATACATAATGATTTAATTCAAAAAATTCAAAAAATTTCAAATCCTGAAAGAATTCATATAAATCTAAATCTAAATTTAATTATACATGTGAACATCTAAAATTGTTTTTTTTAATAATTAGTAGTATTTTATACCTTATTTTTTTTTTTAATAATTATTTTAAGTTAATTTTAAATAAATATAAGAAATATTTAAAAAAACTAAATTGTTTGAGATATGTGTGTTAATGATTTATGATTAAAAAAAAAAAAAAAAAAATGTAAAAAAACAGTAATAAACTATTTATAATTAAATTTATTACTTGAATATAGGATAACTTATAAAGATTTTGTATAATTTAATTCTAAAACGAAGTTAAAAAATAATAAGGAATTCTATTCTAAAGTATTACTATAGGTGAAAAGTAATATTGGCTTTTTGACAAAATTAAGTTTACTTCGGTTTTAATGGAAGAAATATAGAAAGAAGACATCAAAAATGTTACTTAAATTAATTCTAATATTAAAACTTTTTGAAAATGGGGGGGTGTATATAGGAATTATTTGAAAATTATGAGTTTGTTTTCTTCAAAACGTTTTACATTAAATATTAATTAAAACATTTTTTAGTCTTTCAGAATGAATTTAAAATGAATATATTATATACACAGAGTGTTATAAAATTATTGAGTGTGTTCGATCACTTTTTTGTTTAATATATTTATAAAGTAAAAGAGGAATGTATTTGAATTGCAAAAAGATTAGTTTAATTTATATATACAATTTTGACCAGAAAGAATGCTCTGAGACTTAAAAACCTAGTACTCTTCAAATTAATCTAAAACACTCTGATCGGATGAAAAGGTATACGTAAAATTGGAATCATACAAGTAGTTTTACTTGATAACTATGAAATATAATAATTTGCACAGTTTGAGAACCACTGATTTGATCAAATATAGCCAAATTATTTTGAATTTTGATTAAACAGACCGTCAAAGGAACGTTGATGTACGATAATGTGTAAAAAACAAAATCAATCAATTATTGTTCAATATTCATGAATGGTAATTATTATTACAAAATGGTTTAATTTTTTTGCTTTTTACATATTTTTTAAATATTATCATTGGATCCTATTATAGTCTGGGACTATGAGCCTATGTGTTTTATACACGCAATATACATGGTTATTGCAGCACTGATTCTGATATATTATAAATATAGATATAAATAAAATTTATTGTAATAAATAAATTATTGTTCATTATTTATTAAACATCCGAATATTTTCAGCATCTTACAACGGGAAATATTCTATGAATCTAAAATATTTATATCTTTGTAAATATTAACACTCATATTTAAATATTACATTGTCTTCATATCTCTAAATTTATTACACTATACCACTAAGGCTTTTTTTTTATATTTTCAACATCTGTTGAAGTTATACAAGCGTGATTTAAGTATACCAAGTCAAAAATGTTTTCTTGGGAAAACCGCGGGTTTGCAAATTCTGAAATTTACATAGTAAATTATAACAAACTAAATGCAAAATTTCTGTGAAGGTTTGAAGTCGCTAGCTTAACATTGGGGGGGCTGTGGTGAAATTGCCTCCCACGAACAGAAAATATGAATTTCCGGAAAAACCGTGGGTATGCATATTCTAAAAACTACACGGCAAATTAATTACAAAATATCTTTGAAGGTTTGGAGTCGCTAGCTTGATTTAAAGGGGCCAACTTCACACACATCCAGATATTTTCATACTCAAGACACAAAATATGTTTGGGTAATTATAATACGCAAATTCACTGTACGCTATAGGTAGCGGCAACCTCAACAGCGTACATGTTCATTTAAAAGTCAAATCAGAGTATAGAACACAAATATGTGATTGCCTCTAAGCCGATAATATACTATGGTGTACCCTCGCACTTCCTCGTCGAGCTTAAATTCTCACCAAGTTTGTATCAGTGATTGTGTACTGTTGGCGCAACCTCTACTACTCCGTAACGTACAACGTATTTACACATTAAATACCATTGTTCAAATTACACTTTAAAATTTAAAACTTATCATAATATTCCAGTCATTGTATTTCAGCTATTTTCGTTATAATTCTTATACTCGGTTATACAGAAAACTGGAATTATTCGATTTTGATAGCAATGCCACAAAAAAACATTTTAGTGTAAACAAAATATCATAGTCTCGTATGGTATTCAAATATTTATAAAAGTAGGTTTAATCGATTTCCTATTTCAAAACAAATTTTTTATCCAATAATGGTTTATGTAAGAATATTATTATGTATAATTGCTGCGAAGAGAAAATCCAGTCTCTTTCATAAAGTTTTATTTGTACACTTAAATACAAGATGAGAATACTATATGTATTAATTTTTCTCTAACCAATTTTGAATTAATTGAAAGTAGTGATGAGTTATAAATAAGGTGACTATATATTTTTTTAGTCAAAACGAGACAAAAAATAAATAAATCTTCATAATTTTGATTACAATCAATTTTTAGTTTTTAATTGAAATTATTAACAAAATTATATTATTATGGTTTTATGGAACAAAAAATGTAATTACACTTATTAATAAATAACTCATTTTTATGATAAGAAAAACAACTACTTAAAGATAACGGTCATCGATTACTGTAACTTTGAAATAATGAACTATGAAAAATAATTTTATGTTTGCATTGATATTATGGTGCTTATATAAATATTATTTTATATATTTTAATAATGTGGTTATCTATCTCGATACCATAACAGAATATATTTTAAGTAATTTTCACTGGGTGGTATTTCAATAAAATTGTCTACCAATGGTACTACAGGGAAAATGAACTACTATTATGTCATTATGAGAATGTTTTAGTGGCATGATCACCCACCACTGAGTAGCAATCAATTACCACTGCTTCAGGGGCACTTGTGCCACGTACTTTGTATATTAAAATATGTTCTATACCATACGCACTCCTTGCCATTCATGGTCGTCACTCGTCACTGTCCACCAAACAGTAATATAGTGTATACACGTCGCATGAATACATAATAGTTAAATATAATAAAAATAATAATTGATCAACAAATTGAAATTGACCATAGTAATTTTTTACTACTTTCTGAAAACGGAACATTTTAATAACCCGAAGATTCCCCGGGGGACAGCGGAACAAAGATACGAAAAATAGAACTGTCCCGTTAAAAACCGGAAATATGGTCACCTTAGTTATAAACCATGTTTATGAAACTTTTAAAAAATATATATCAAACCTGTGTTCTAATATATTGTTCACTGACAGTCCTAAGCCTATAAAAATGAGAAGGGAAATGTTTTTTTTTATATATATATATATACATAGACCCAATTAGAGTAGTACTTTTAAAATCATGGGACCCTACTAGTGTACTACCTGAAAAACACTGGAACCTAACTCGACTAAATAAGGGTCTTTAGGACCCAACTAGTAAATGTCGTTTTAATTGTATGCAAAATTTACGATACACCGGTTTTCCGGCAAAAACGATGAATACAGTAGGCATACAATAATTATATTCCTATATTTCATATGCAATAGACACAAAATATAACACATTCAACACCATTGGTAATATTTTAACAAAATTGAGTGTACGCTAAATTGTATACGGAGTTATACAGAGTAGTATACTATAGTAGTATAGTAGTATAGTATGGTGTAGTATAATTATATAGAGTTTCAAATATAAAGTAAGTTATGGAATATTTGAAATAGATTCACAATATAATTGCAATTTGTTATTTTTTCATTTTCATATTATATGTGTACATATACGTGTATTGTTTGCGAAAACATTTATAAAAAAAATTGGATTAAGTTATTTCTGAATTTAAACAATACACTTTTGCATTTTTCATTTAAAATAGCAGCTTAGTTTTTAATATACCATACAAATAACAAATGTTGTAATGTAAATGTTTTTATTTTTATTTACAGCGATATGAAATTTTAAACAAGAAATATTTAATCAATCTTGTTGTGTATGCTTTGAAAACCAAAAATATTACAAAAGAGTATCAAAATAAAATCAAACATAATTTGTGACATTATAATTACTAAATTAAAATGTTAGTGCCTCAAATCATTTATTTTAATAATCATGTAAATGTTTATGTAGTCTCGCGGCTATATAAAATATGAAATACTGTAGCTAAAAAGGCTCGAACGTCAAAAAAACAAAAGAAAGTAACAAATTATTTTGTTTAAAATTATTAGTTTTAGTTTAGTAAGTTTGGAAATGACATATAATATGTTGTATACATGTGTATTATTTTTCTGAAATACACAGGTAAAATATATACGTTTATTTTATATACATTATCTTGTATGTATATTAAGATATATATGTAATATAAAAATATGAGCGCAAGACACAAACACGCAAATGTTCTATTAGTCTATTTTCAGATGTTCATAGCACAGCTGATCATTAATGTAATGAGATTAAGTATACTTAAAATAAACTCACCAATAAAAAATAACGTTATTTTATTTAACTTAAAACGTTCTTCCGCCTACGTTTAAGGCTTGTAACTTATTCCGACAGCGAAATCCGGAAAAGACCATCGGGACGGATCTGGCCATAATCCAATTAAAACATCGCTTTAGTTACTCCTGACACCTGTCTTTCTTGTCCACTGAAAATTCAAGAAACTTAATCCAAATCAAAAAATCTAATCGAAAGTTCATTAACGCAATGTACTACACCGATTTCACAACTCGTAGCGTTCATAATCAGACATATTTGACGGATTTTTATGGATTATTTTATTTTTGTTTTTGCACTGAGCTATGAAAATATAATCTCATAGATTTATAATTTAGAAATTTTTAATGGAAACATGTTATAGTCGACTGAAAAATTGACACAGTGAACTGAAAATTACTCTTTATACGTTATTTAGATTTTTGGTTCGTATTTTATTTAGTTTTTAACATAGATTAATTTGAGTAAGATTCCGCTAAGATTTGATATTAAATCTATTAAAACCACAAATATGTATTGGCGATCAATATGTATCAAATAAATATAAAATTAAATCCTATTTTAATGTTCTTTAGCCAGTTGATAAAATATAAAGAGGTCAATACATTTGATGTTATTCTATATAGTTAATGATTTTTATAATAATATTCGATACTGATTGTTTCAACTAAACGAGTGGAATGAAAGTACATTTTTAAGTCGATAACTTGTTTTCATATATTCCTAGCCATATTTAAATCGCATAACGACTACAATTAAGTAAGTATACAGTACACCACCAATGGATAACAATAATATTGTTTCTTGTTTCAACGAAAAAAGTTTACAATAACTGTGGCCTGGCATCTATAATATTCATAATTCATTAATAACCATAAGTATTATAATGTTAATTTACATAATTTTCTAGGCGTTATCATCAATGAAACTAATTCTCGGTTATTTGTTGGTTTTATTAACTGTACAAATTTACGACAAAAACAGGATGTATAGCCATAGGAATAAATGTAATTTATTATATTATCTAAAGATATGTGGTAATTGAAATTATCAACTATACATTTAGGCGGGTGCTTGTTTTATACTACCTAATGTTTATTTTTTGAAGTAATTAAAAAAAAAAAAATCTCAAAATCATGTGTAAAAGAAAACTATAATTCGATTTTACAATTTTCAAAAATGTTGGATTGAAAAAATTGTAACTATACAAAGTTAAAAAATGCTTATCTAGATTTTTTCTTTTACACTTTTTGGATATTAGACTATTACAATAATATAACGACAACTTTTCATTTTAACCAAATCAACAAATTAACATCACCTGATATAAGAAAAAAATATTATCACTTTATGTAGAAAGACAAATTTCAGAAGTTATCCAACATCCAATATTTGTACCCGGCAAAATATTTACGTTTATATTGCTCAGAATAACTTACAGAATTTATATAAGGTTATAATGTTTATAATACTTTTTTAAATGTATATAAATATAAATGTCATTTAAATAACTCTAAACTTTAAGTAATTATTTGGTTTAAACTAATAAATTTTCAATGGAAATAATGTCTAGAAAATAATAAAAAATTAACCGAAAATATTTATATTATTCGTTGAATAATCATATACTATGATATAAAAAGTATACCCATATATTTAAATATATTTTTTAGCTACATAATATAAGTATCGATAAGAAAATATTTTTTTGTTCATTATTTCTATTCTTCATTGAATCATACAAATTCAATAGTTTTTCTAATTCTAATTTATTTAATTGGTCTGTTTTAATAGCATGGCTAATGTGATAAATGTTATATAAAAAATTGTATGAAATAAATAAATCAATTCCCTTTGTATTTTACGTTAGTAAATCAACCTTTTTTTTATTATAAGCTTACCTAACGAGGACTAAACTTTCACATAATAAGCAGATTTGTATGCTAATTGCACTTGGATGGTTATTGAACAATGATTCTTTGTTTGGACTCCAAATGAATGAACTGAAATTCCTGAAAAATAACAAAAGAATATATTAAACACTATCCAATAAACATATATTTATATATGGTAATATACATTTATATTTATTATAAGAGGCAAAGAGTAAACACATTTTGAACCAACGATAAATAACATTCAAGGATATATTAGAATTTTAATAATCATAGCTCAATAATTTTCAACAAAATGTATTTATCGAATTCTGATTTTTATTAAAATTAAATAAATATTAAAGTCTATTAAAGACTCTGGGAATATTATGAACCCATTCATTTATTTTTCTCGTTTACGACAATTTACATTTTGGTCCGTGACTAAGAATAAATTCATTTTCCATATAGCAAATTAACTAATTCAACATTATTTACCGATTACAAACAATAGTGCTTGATATTTAAAAATATCATTCATTTTTCTACATTTTTTACATAATAAGGCGTATTAATAAAATACAAAACTGACCTTTATGAATATACTTTTTCTTCTGTATGATTTGCAATTTCAGAAAATTCGTGATAATGTATATAAGTTACATTTGTAGTCACACAATATAAACTTTTTTAATATTTCTATACTTTTGATTATATACGATATACTACATTGAATATTGTAGAAGAAAGAATCAAAACAAATAATTTGTAATTATTACAAGGTGATTTGTATAATAAACAACATCTTTCGCATTAATAAGTTATTATCTATTAAAAAAAAGTAATTTTTAAAAACTATGTATGTAGCTATAAGGATATTATATACTGTATTTATCATAGTAACTTTTATATTCTTTTTTCGGCAAAATGGTAAACCATATTCCACAGTATTGATTTGAAACATTAACTTTTACTTATTTATATATGTTAGAACCAATATAATAATATTATAATATAATAATAATATAATATAATTTAACTATGTATAACATGTTCTAAAAATAAATCTATTTCAAATGTTCAAATATATGATACACATATCTAATATATAAATATCCATAATTACATAGTATAAGTATCGATTTAACACTTATATTTGTTTAGTATATTTATTCTACATAGGATATCCTGAATAATACGAATTCGATAATTTGTCTGTCTAATATGTTTTATTGATATGTTTTAATAGTGTATTTAATGTGATAAATGTCACTTTAAAAACAGTATGAAATAAAATAAAGTATAAAATTATCGTACGACGGAGTTTGATATTATTGAAGTAATATATAAACATGTAAATAATTTATAATTTATAAACTCCTAGAAACCTATAAATGTATATTTTATTTTATATTATATTGCATAAAACTAAATTCTAGAAATTTTCAACTAACGACTGATAAAATCAGTGAAACAACAGCTAGTGGCTATCATTGAAAATTCATTTTAAATAAGTACATATCGCATTATTTAAACAATGTTTTTATGAATGTATTTCGAGATAAGAACTGAATAATTACCTACTTACAGTTAAAACCAAATAAAACCGTGAATAAACTGAATTTAGTTTTGGTCATAGTTAGGTAAACATCCATCCGAACTATAAGACAAATATCGTATACATACATACACGCATATTATACGAGTATATTTGAGGTAACGTGTACATAACAATGGTCCTATAAATATTGCACATTTAACCGGAATACGATAAATATTTGTACGGGATGAGTTTACGTAAGCAAGATATTATTTCATGCGACTTAAAGACATTATTAACGTGCATCCGAGGTAGGTATGAATTATATACAATTTTGCTGATGAAATAAAAACTATGTAAAGTGTAAAAAGGTCAGTTATGTTGGTAAATCCAGCCGCCACTGTCAAACTGTAATATTTTAACTAAAGTTATGTACCTGCATCGAGTGTTTGTACCCATAATACACTTTAACTTGAAACGATAATAATATTTTGGCATACAATTCTGATATTTATTTTATTCCGTAATAGAAGTGCCATAACGTGGGGACTTTTTTTTTTCAAAGTAAATATTTATATTCAATACCCATTATTACATACGGAAGTAAATAAAACAGTTTTAACGATTGACTTAAAAAAATGTACAGTCTATACTGTGTTGAAAATGTTATCATTTTTTAAAATATCCTCATCTCTTATGTATACCTACTCAATACGTATTTTTTTTATAATGTTCTGAATTTGATACGATTAGTTTTGTATGAAACTTTTTATTGATATGTTGTATTTCAGTTTTAACGTGGTAGTGTAATTTAAACTATATGATTTCATCTTTAGAATATTTCTTACCATTAGAAATTTAAATTTAACTTCAGTTTTTTGATATTTAAAATTAAATTCACATTCAAGCTTAAGGATTAAAATGAAAATGGTAATAACAAAATACGTTCCTTTTTTTATTTATCACATATCATTTTAAAAATATAACATGACAGTATGATGATATAGTGTAAAAATAAACATATATAATTAAAAAATATACATTTTTTTTTTAATATCATATTGATAGTTTAAATGTAGTTTTAAAGAATAGCACGATTATTTAAATACGTTATTTTCGTAAAAAGCTATATTTTTATTTCATACCAAAATTCAACTTAGGCGTTATTGAATTTGGCAGGTAAACTTCTCAAATTATCTGTATACTGCTACGCTCCACTTACAAAATCACCACAACAGTCTGTCATCCTGGCATACTAAATGGAAAGTTAAAATTAATAACAAAAAAATCATTAAATATAACTTTTTTTCGAAAACACGATGAGGTTTCGTCAGTTAACCTAGATTACTAAATCATACTGAAAGTCTTAAACGTCTGTTTCTTAGGCTTAAATGTTAAAATGTAGGCAAAAGTCTTTTCTGGGTGGAACATACTAAAAACAAACGTACCATTTTACACCTCAAACAAAAATGTCTACATTGTTTGTTTGGTAATCACTTCAAACTCAATGTTAATACTTAACTACTCTTATATAAACAACAATACATGTGTTTTTAGACATATGGATATTAGATGGAGTTAAATTATCAAATTATCATAAAATATAAATGCAAAAACTGGTTTATTTATTTTATCGTATAACTTATGTCATTGTAATTTTTTTTTTTATAAAATTACTTTTATTGAAATATTTACAATCCTATACATTGTATAAGATATTATTATATTATTATATGTACATATTATTGTGTAAACACTGTATACTATTTAGTGTTTACACAATAATTCAATTTATTTATAAGAATAAATAGAACTTGATTGCTTATTAAGCAAGTTAAACGTTGCAAAATTTAGACCAATTTGGTCTCTAAAGATTTGGTCTTCTAACCTCCTTGACACCTAATAGGATTTTCGGATACAGTTTTTGAGCCCAACTGGATGATGAGTGGGATTTGATGTGATTTTATTTTCGATGAAATCTATTAAAGTATATTGAGGAAGTTTCGTTAATATTTGAGTTCTTTAGATCTCGATAGAGTGCCATGATGACAAAGCATGGTGATAATCATTCGTAGGATGATAGATCGATAAACTTGACTAGACTCGAGATCTTTCTGCAGCATTACGTGGAAATAATGTTTAACTTACACGTCAATTATAATTTAATTTGTAAACTTGCATAAAAAGCGTGTGTTTCTGAAGCACCGTAACGACCTTCATACCGATCGTGGTAAGCAGAATTCAGAACCGTCAGCCGTGACCGTATTATACCCATAAAAATAAACATATGGTTTTCAGTTACCGTTGCTGGTAATAGTGGCATCTATATATTAGCTTCATTACCATATTCATACGATCATAAAGATAAATTAAAAGACGTGTACAAAAGTTTATGCTGTGGGTATGATAAAATTTGTGAATGTTTCATTAAATATTCGTTGAATTCAATACATTTTTCGTGATACGAAGAGCTCGCGCAGACTGTATAATGACAATATCGTTATCGCACTACAAATTCAAATAATTGGGAAAAAATAAAAAAAAATAGACGACGGCAATTTCGTCCGAAGATATTTTATCGAATTTCATCGATAGTGTAAAGGTTAGATGTAAAGGTTGGATGTTTGATGCTAGCGGCCGGCTACCCGAAAAAGAAGTATTCTGTAAAACACGAATATTCGCGATGACCAATTACTCATATTATGAAACACTGACTTATTACGCGATTTTACTTTATGTCCGATTTATTTCAAAAAATAAATTATTTTTATCAATAAACGTTGGTATTGCCGAGACATAATTTTACAAGGCCCACCCACGGTATTATTGGTTTATAAGAAAAATACGAAATGTCTGATTTAGAATATATTTGTATATTTTATTTAAAAACTGGATTTCTGGCTGAATTGCATTTGGAAAATTTGTGTGTGCTGTTAGTTTCCAAGCATAAACATAAAATAACAAAATACGTCAAAATAATCACTTAAAAAATACGATTTTGAAATTAAATTGAATCCTAGAAAGCTCTCTGTTGTCCAGAGGATACGAAAATTATATTTAGTCATAGTTATCTTAGTATCAGCAATAAATAATAATTCTAAATTTTTATGATTTGCCAAAATAATTTAAAAATAACTAAAATAATTGTTAGGTCGTTTTGTTTTTGTTCGTTGTTTTTAGACGTATTAGACCACCAAATTGTATATAAAACTCAGAAATAACCGGCAAAGATAGGTTAAATTACTACCAGATATACAACACGTGACTGAAATTAGTAGATTTCCACAATGATTATAGTAAATATAATAATAACAACAAGAGGGCGTACAACATTTAAACGTGACCACTAAATTGACTTTCTTTTGATTCCACAATTTACGTGTTTTATAAAATTATTTACTTGGTTGGTTACAGTTTTGACGGTAGTTAAAATTGAATAACAAAAAAAATAAAAATTCTAACGTACCTATTTTTATAGTTTTATATATTAATATAACGCGTACCGCATAGAATATTTTACGTTTCAACTTCATACATTCACTTTTTCGTCTTAAAAAAATACGAAACAAAAATTATTTTATGCCGAGCACAAATGTTA